TTTTTTTTTAGTAAAGATTAATCCGTATTGATCTGTTTTTAGCAGCTCAAATACACTTAAGAACGCTGAAGTTGCCGAAATGAGCAATATCGCTTAATAGCGGATTATTAAAGGATCAAGAGGTATTAGTATTAACAGCAGTGATGCATTTAAAGTTAAGTATCAAGGCAATTAGGCTGAGTTTTGGATTGAAGAAGTGAAATGTGAATAGCAAGAAGATTGATGATAAGAAAAAGTGTCATTTTGGAAAGTTTTGGTGAGTGACAGAAATTGCAACTGTGAAGTGGTAGGAGTCTGTACTCGAGGTTAAGACTGGCTTCCTGAGCAGAAATGCAATAGAGCTAGACATATGCACACTGAAATGATACGGAGTATTTTTACTGCATGTACGTTTCTTTTTTTTTTTCAGTATTCGATTTTGATTAGAATGAGGCTTAGAATCACGGCTTGTGATTCTCGAGGTCACTCTAAGCCGACTAAGTTCAATATATACTCGCACAATCAACTTAAAGATTTCAAAATTAAGCCCAGGTATGCGTGACTCTCATGCACGAGCACCCAAAAGTTCTAGTGAGAGGATTGCTCATTGAACACTTAACTCTTTTTTAAAGAACGTCCATTCGACAAAAATTTTTCATATATTTTTATGTAAAATTTACGGTAATCAAGCAATAAGTGTCCAATTCAAATGTGAAGCAATAACTACCTAGTGCAGTTAAGGCCTGACTGCTTCAAGTTTAGTTCAAAAACGCACGATCGCACCGGCAAGCCTGGTGCTCCCCAATCCGGATTGCAGTGAAAGTGGCTTGCACGTGGCAATTTCGGCAAGCAGTAACGGACGGTATGCAAATCATCATAGCCATACTGCTAACAAATAACGCCTATGCAAAAGTATTAGTGATATTTAAGGATAGTGAAAATTTGTGTAGTCAAAAAAATTTACATACATGCAAATGTTGCGAACCTGTCATATATATAGAGACATACTGCATAACTGAAATCAATTTTAATTTGAGTGAGGGTACGTCAAGGTGCATTTATTATCATTCAGTTTGTTTTTTCATAAGTTGTTTCGGATTTTAGATTGGCGCTTACGGAGTGCATTGCCAGTTCCAACGGTCAAGACCTTAAAGCAACGATTCCCTGGGGAGCTCTGAAGTGTTGTAGTTTATCCAGTAGCGTTGCTGGGGATTTCCAGCTTCGTCAGTCTCAGAGGATCTCTGCCCTAGAATGTTCAAGATGATGTAGCCGTATAAATTGCACTTCTTTTTTGTATTTATGAGAGGAAATGCTAGTGGGATTACCAGCTAAAAGTCTCGGTACAAGTAGTTTTCGCTGCTGGACGCGCATTCGCATCAACGCAGTGGACGAAACGTAAAGGCTTTGACCCTTTAAATTCTGCAGCTTCTTTACTTTTTTTGAGTTGTCATGCGTTTGTGCTGCAACAGCTTCAAAAAACGACCGTTGTCGAGACCCTGCCTGCAAGTATATTTGTGTGTATGCTCCAATTATGTTTTATCTGGGGGCTTCGACTCGGAAACCAGAGAAACTAAGAAGCTGAATTTTAAAGGAGTCTCCCCTGCCTGCATTTGATCTCGTCAACTCGAACTCAGCTCCCGAATGTGCACATAAGTCTCACGTGCAGTTTCATGAAAGCTTTGACACCTAAACTAATAATTGGGGAAGTACAAAAACTGAGAAGCTAAAATTTCGGATGAATGTTTCTTCTTTGTGTATGACTTTCGTAGATTTAAATTTAGCCTTCGTGTATGTCTGAGTCGCACGCGGGGACGAGTGAAAATTTTGCCGCTAAAACAAATTCGGGAAAAGCTAAGATGATGGAATTTTAGACAGATCTCTTTTGTCCATGTACAGTCCCGCAAATTTAAGATGAGCTTTCAAATAAGTCTAGGTCTCACAAACAGACATATAAAAGTTTTGTCGCGAAAACCACTAACTCTGGAACCATAAATGTTAGGAAGCTATCTAGGAAAATTGCTAATTTAGGGACCAGAAGAACTAGAGGATGAAGGAGGATGTAACGACGGCGAAGGTTGTAATTCAGTTTTCTCATGCTCTTACGCTCCACATAGGAATGTGTGAACTTTGGCGGGAAATTTCCCAAATCCGAGGGAGATAAGAAGAGGCTGTTTATTGTCCATTTATAACCGACTTTTCACATGCATTTCGTTCTTATGCGTAGAAAAGTGCAAGTTTTGATGGAGCAAAATATTCCGATGATTTTTGGACATGCCATATAAAGCAAAATAGTGAATATTTTCAACAGCATACGTCCATCAAGGACTGCACAAAACGCATTTATAGCACTAGCCATCCTTTGATGCGTGCCGCTTTAATCCGATAATTATTGCAGGATAATATTATTGCAGGATAATTCTAAGGCACAATAATGGGTGACGCTCCAGCAGAAGGTGCGCCTCCTCCTCCTCCGCCTGCTCCAGAGGGTGGGGGAGCACCACCACCGGAGGGCGGAGCACCACCGGCGGAGGGTGGAGCACCAGCGCCAGCTCCTGGCCCGCCAACACTGAATATCGATCCACCGGCCGCTAATGTACCAGCAGCGGGTGGACAGTCGGTGCATCAACTGACCAATCCAAGTGCCGCTCGTTTGGCTTTCAAGGTACGGTATTTGCTTAAAAAATATCCGATTCCAGGGTATTTTTATCAGTTTACATGGATCGTGAGGGATATAAGTGAAAAAAATTAAAACTTGAGAATGAAAGCATCTTTTAGAACACGGAAGTGCACTGCCCTGTAGGGTGCTCTAATTTTTTACAGAATTTCAATAAGCCAAAAGTGTTATGCCGGGAATACTATTTGACGCTTTAACACTAAATAGGCTTTGAAAGGCCTGGAAGCTCTGGATGATCGGCGGATTGAAGACTGCTGTGATCTTGGAATATATTAATTACATAAACAATTTGTTTAAATCAATTTTTATCTCCATTTCTTAAATTGGGATTTCACGTACTGCACATCTGGACTGGTATGAGTTTCACATGAAATAGCCCTTCAGGTTTT